ATATATATATATATGTGTGTGTGTGTGTGTATATATATATATATAGTTTGTGGTAATGGTCATGTCATAATTTTGCAACCATTTCATATAGGTTGTGGGAAAAGTTAATAAATACGCTGCTCTTGTTAGGAACCAAGATTTGCCCAGGGAGAGAAAAGAGAGGAATAGAAAATAAAAGAAATTAAGGCAGACGCCCCACGTGAGGCTGAGAGAGCTCAAAGGCTCCCTCTGGCGGCCGTTCAGAGAATGACCTGTGGAAGGGCAGGGGCAGCAGCAAGGAGACCAGCTGCTGCTGTCCAGGAGATGCCAGTGGGCAAGGGGGGCTGCCCTGGCTTCCTGAGCTATGACTCTGTTGCCTCCCAGTCCCCTGAAACTGTGGGATCAGGGTGACCGAAGCCTCTCACTGCCCCTGTCACCTGCAGACAGCCAGCTAAAGGTGTGGATGAGCAAATACGGCTGGAGTGCTGACGAGTCGGGGCAGATCTTCATCTGTAGCCAAGAAGAGAGCATTAAACCCAAAAACATTGTGGAGAAGATTGACTTTGACAGTGAGTGGTGGCCCACGGCCTCAGGCCTTGGGGCTAAGGGGGTGCCTCTCAAGGGAGGCCGAGGCAGGGGCCCAGAGGACCTGGGTACATCTGCTCATGTTCTGGGCTGGGAAGTCTGCACCTGCCAGATTCCATTCACCTTGTGTCTCGGGGCTCCTGCCCAGGGAGCAATAGTGGGGAGCTGGGTGATCTTCCCTGAAACTTCTAGGCCCTGTGTCCTGCCTCATAGCACTCAGCAAGACTTCCTGGGGCCCAGCGGGGCCTCGCAGGGGGTCTCTGCACCCTTACTCATCCCTGAGGCCGGTCTGGTTGGCCCTCTTTTATCCTTGGGGTACCCAGGCCTCATGTGCAGACTTGGAGTCCGGTGAACAGTAGGAATCTTGATTCTCTACTTTGGGTGATTTCACATCTTTGTGCCTCAGTTTTCTCATCTAAAAAATGAGGACGGCTGGGCGC